CTAAAAAAAAAAAAAAAAAAAGGCCTTCGTGGCCTCCTTTTCCTTTCACCCTATAGGCCCCTCCCTCCCTCCCTCTCTCCGACCACCAGCTCAGGGTGTGGCCCCTGTTGAGCCCAGCAGCCAGCTGCAAGGCCAGGCTCTAATCAGCCTGAGTCCAAACAGGCAAAGGGAGAGGAACACAAAGCAGACAACTGACAGGTGAACGGATGTGGGGCAGACACTGTTTATTGAGTGGCAGGCACAGGAGAGGTAGCTGGCTCCAGTGTGGAAGCAGAGGTGGCAGGTCATGCCAAGGTGCTATGGGCATCTGGCAGCCAGGGCCATGCCCCCTACCCGAGGGGGGTGGCACAAGCTCACTATGACAGGAGCAGTAAGGAGCCGGCCAGGGGAGAGGGCGGCCACTGCCCCTGGGATCCTGGGCAAGAAGCAGCAGACAAACTTGGCACAGGGGTCTGGGGTGAGGGGGGACTAGGGTCTGGGTATTCTGGGGGGGTGGAGGACCATCACGTCTGGGGGGTGGAGTAGAGACTGTGGTGGTGGCTGCCTGGTCCTGGCACCTGGGAGAAGAGCAGGGGAGTGGTCCTCGTCTGGCTGCCCCCGCACCAGCCCGGTTCACGCCCGATGGCGCCGTACCAGCTGCCAGAGCCTAGGCTGCCCGACATGCTGCAGGCAGAGAAATAGGATCAGTCCCAGGACAGTGACTAGGGCCAGGACAGGAGTTGGAGAGGAAGAGAGGCTCAGAACAGGGCCCTGGAACTTAGACACGCAGGCCCAGGGCTAACTGCATCTCAGGATAAGGAGTGGGAGCCTAGCAACAGGAGCCGAGAGAAGACCTTGCCTAGCACAGGTAGGGAGACGAGGCCATGGTGGGGATGGGGATGGGAAGAGAACCAGCTCGATGGAGGCAGGCAGGAGCCCAGGGGTCCTGATAGGCCCAAAGTTCCTACCTGGTGCTCTCGCCTCCGCTGTGCTCCCAGGAGCAGCCCTCGTCCTCACAGTGCCCAGCTCGGTCAAAGAAGTAGGAACGGGAGCCAAACACTTGGCCGTTGAGGATGCGGCTGGTGCTCTGGGGAAGGAGATGGCCATCGATGCTTGCGTCTGCTCCCTACCCCTCCTATAAATGTCCCCAGCCCAGGAGTCCCAGTGTTCACTCCTGTCCACTGGCCTCACCAGGTCCTGTGGAGGCCGGTGCACCCTGAAGAAGCCCACCAGCAGGGTGGTGGGCAGCAGCTCCCACACAAAGAGGATGAGGCCGAACACCAGGTAGCCTTTGTTCCCCAGGTCGTTCACCAGGTCCGCCTGGGGGAAAACGGGCTTGTGCCAATCTGCAGTTGTGCCACAGGGGCACTGAGCTAGCTCCCAGGCCAGCTGGGGGCCGGGCTAAGGAGGTGGCAGACATGCTGGATGCCCACCTGGTCAGAGACGTTGTACCAGTCATAATCAAAGGCGTCCAGCCGGCTCCGCGGGGCCAAGGCCAGGGCAGCCAGGTTGTAGCAGGCCCGGCTGGCATAGAGTAGAACCATGGCGCCACCCATTGCGGCCGCCTGGCACACACTGGTCCCCTGGCACAGATGACAACAGAGGACCCTCAGGGAAGGGAGACTCCCAACTTCCTCTATACCCTGCAGACTGCTGTTGACCAAAGATCCCAAAGGACACCTGGGTATCAGGGCTTGTGGCCCTACCTTGGCCTCCAAGTAGATGCTAGTAGAGGGTGCCCGCCGGGCGACCAGGCAGAGGCAGGCAGCAAGAGAGAGTGCGCAGATGACGAAGAGGGAGTCGCTCACCAGGACGCGCACCAGCAGCAGGGCCCAGGGCTGTGCCCGGCGCCGGCGGGACAGCACAGCACACAGCACATTCACCAGCAGAAAGAGCAGCGAGGCCCCCACGAAGGCCCCTCGGACGGCCAGCCTGCAGCCCACAGCACCGTCAGCCCCAGCCCACCCACTGTCCTTGGTACTCCCCAACCACCCTGCCTCCCCCAGGAGACCCGGTGTCAACCAGAACTCAGGTCATACTGGCTGAACCCTGCTCCTCCAGTCTTACAGATGGGGAAACTGAGGCCCAGAGGTCAGAAAGTGACTGACAGCTGTGGTACTATGGAAGGAGGACCAGTCAGCAATGTAGGTTTGAGCCCTGGTTCTGCCTCCTGCAAGCGCTATGACCTTGAACATGGTGCTTTACCTCGGACCTCAGTTTATTTCTCTCTCAAACGAGGGTAACATCGGCCTCTTTAGGGATGGAGAAAAAAAACGAAAGAATGTTTGTGAAAGCTCTTTATAAACTGTAAGACACGTATACAAGGCAGAGGGGTTGCCTCTTCAAGGTCACCCAGAAGTGTAAGTTGGCTTTGGCACCCCTAAGGCCTGGAGCCTCGAGCTCTTCCTCCATGGTGGGCAACCCCGGTGCCCTCGCCACACAATTACGACCGGTTCTGTTACTTTGGCCCTTCACACACACTGCCTCTGCTGAGCCATCTGCACCAGGTGCTTTCGCTTCTCCAAGCTCTTTCACAAACATTCCCGGGGGGGCCTGGTCTCAGCCCTACCAGGTAGGAAGGGGTCTACACTGGGCTGCTCCCTGCCCCATTTGGGGGCTGAACCCACAGTGTCCCGAGTACTTACAACCCTCGGCTCATCTCTGGCCGACGTTTTGCCTTGGCCTTGAACACCACCTGGGAGCAGAGATGCCCATCACTCCTTTGGACCCACAGATCGCCACCCTCACCCTCCCATCCGTTACCACGGTTACCTGGGCAAAGTAGAGGTTCATGAGCGTCAGTGTGAAGAACTGCAGGCAGACAGGGCAGCAGTAGAGAAGCCAAAAGGGCAAGGGCCCCAGGCGGTTGGCCCGGGGAGTATCTCGGAAGTAGAAGGAGAAGAGGGTGGTTCTCAAGGCGGCCCAGAGCAGACAGAGTGCCAGGAACACCGTCTGATAGCTGAGACGCTTGTGCCCATACAGAAGGACCAGCCAGAGCTGGGCATAGACGGAGAAGAAGAGCAGGGCGTACAAGGTGGTGTAGGCCGCTGTCAGCCCCAGGGTCACGGCAGGTGGCAGCGCAGGCACCAGCCCAGCGGCAGGCACCAGGCCAGACAGGTTACTCTCCATGTCAGAGAGGGAGGCCTGAATCCCGGAGACAGAGATGGAGGGGCTGGCTGGGGCCAAGGAAATAAATACGGGATTGTAGGGGATAGAGACGGAGACGGGGACAGGGAGCTCAGGAGGAAGGAAGTTATGGCTGTCCCGGTGTTCCTCCTTAACAGAGAGACCCT